TGGGATTCTCCTCCTGTTGGTGCAGCAATGGTAAAACCCCAGACGTGTAGATGTGTCTGTTCACACCAGTTACACTTGTGCTGCCACCGAGAAGCAGCGATAGCCCAAGGTCTCTGCTAACTTCTGCTGTAAAGTGTAGGAGCTCCTGAGTGTGTACGGTATCGGGTCTTCTGCCACCTGCAGTGCTGATGTAGCACTTCCCCAAGCTACATAACTCTTGGGGATTGACTGCCTGATCAGGGTTTCGTGTGCTCCCATTCGACTGACCAGAGCAATACGACAATTCTCAGCTTAATGTTTTATAACCGCTATTGGCACCATTGAGCAGATGGCTGGAAACCTTGACAGATTTGTTTTTAATGAAGCTTTAGAAGAGGCAATCTGCACCGTGGTCAATTTGGAAAGAAAATACAACTTCTCCTGTCCTTGAGGAGTTTTATTCGTGGTGGCCTAAGCATCCATCAGTAAAACAAATGATAAAGGGCATCAAACTGAAAAGTGTCCAAGAGCAATGAGAAAAATTGGGTCAGAATTGTAGCGGAGTTGAATAATGAAGGTAACCGTGTTGGTGTTAAAACGAGCTCGAATGTGGTGTCGCATCCAGACTCAGCCGTGAGCTGCAGTGTCGCTAGAGCCCTTACTGAGGACTTCGCTGCAACAATAGCTCGAAAGCTGACGCCCCTGCAGATCTGAGGAATGAAAACCTCCCCGTATTCCTGATATTGTAAAACAGGCAACACGTCTCAGTAGTTCTGATCCATCTCGGTAAGAGGTGGTGGCACTTGCTTCTTACAGAGCTTTCTCATTAGACCAAGAAAATAAGCTTTATTTTGTTTCCTTTCCATTTGACCAGCTCAGGATAACGCCGCTCTTGTGCTGTGCTGCTTTCCTGGTGCTTTGTCAGACTGCAATCATGTGGTGCTGTAGGGGGTCAGGACCTAATGTGTCGCGGTGCGTGGTGTTGACAGAATCACAGAATCGCTCGGTTGGAAAAGCCCTCTGAGATCATCACGTCCAACCGTTCCTGTCTACCCCCTAAACCATATCCCTAAGTACCTCGTCTACCCGCTCTTTAAACACATCCAGGGATGGTGACTCCACCACCTCCCTGGGCAGCCTGTGCCAGCTTCTGACGACCCTCTCAGGAAAGAACTTCCTCCTTATCTCTAACCTGAACCTCCCTTGGCACAGCTTGGGGCCGTTTCCCCTTGTTCTGTCCTCCATCACCTGGGAGAAGAGACCAGCAGCGGTTGACAGCGGCTTCACAGGAACTGTTCTGAAGGTTCCCTCCACAGGACAGAGCCATCAGCTTTGCTGTCCTGCTCTGTCGGGTTCATTCGGTTCCACTCTGCAGGATTTGGGCTCCATCTTTCGAGGTGGCTCAGGTGCCCTGCGCAAGGCTTTCAACTTCCCCTCCTTCTGTTTCCTTTTCAGTACAAAGGAGCCAATATTCAGCTGCTGGATCTGCCTGGGATCATCGAAGGAGCAGCACAAGGTTGGCTGAGCTCTGTGTTCCTGCAAAGCGGGGATTTGCCCTCCGTTGCGTAGCTGGGTGTCTCAGACGTTAGCAGGTTTCCTGGGCCAAGAGTTCCCACATTGGCTTTCCAAATTTTAGAGTCCTTGATCTTATGTGAGGCACGATTCTTATCCCTGAGCCCACGTAGGGCTCTATATGTAGCAGAAAGATGCTTTTCTGGAGGTGGGAGCCAAAGCAAGCCAGTCACTTCTCACCTTCTTGTGTGAGTGTTATCTTGCTCATCTGTTTTCTGGTACAGAGGAAATCTAAAGAAAGATGCTGGAGAGGCGGAGGGGGAAATTACAGCTAAACAGTAACCTCTTTTGACTAATTCCCTGAGTTCCTGCCAGTCCTCCCATGACTCCTGATTCTGGGAAGAGGTTTTGGCTTTGTCCCTCTGCTTTGTCATTGTCCAGATTGGCTGCTTGTGTCAGAAGATGCTGTAGGAAATTGGAAAATCTCCTAATGGTTTGTGGGGGTTTTTTTGGAGGATCATGGCCTGATAAATGAGGTCTCTTTCCGCTTTGACCAGAAAATGTATGTAACCTCTCTACATAGGGCCCTGACCCCATGTCACTGTTCTGAGTAAGCTGTCTCAGATAGTTTACACACATAAGTTAATGTAACCTGTGGTGGAGAAGTGACAGCAAAAAGTGTTTGTTAGGGTTTATATGACAGGATGGATGGACCAGATATGCTGCTCAGGTACCCCCCAGCAGCTGACCACAGCCAGTACAGCCCTGCAGGATCTTTATCCTTGCTTCCAAGCAGCTGTGCAGGGCAGGAGCCCTCATTTGTCATGGGACTCGTAGCTGGTTTCTGTCCCTGATGTGCCACCATCTCCTCTCTTCTCAGGGAAGGGCAGAGGGCGGCAGGTGATAGCTGTGGCCAGGACAGCAGACGTCGTTATTATGATGCTGGATGCCACGAAGGGTGAAGTACAGAGGTGAGTGTGTGCTTCTGGGCATGTGGAGCTGTGGGGCTGTGAGTCAGGTTCCCATATGCCCAGAAAACTGCCAGCTCCCTCAAGTGTTGTGTCCTGCGCCCGTTGGGGAACCTGTACTTAAGCTACTGAGCACGAGGTGGAGGTTATACAGCATTAGAAGCATGCTGGCTGACTGGGAACAGCATTTATGGAGCTCTCTGCAGATCTCAGGTTGGGCTTTTCAGCTGAAGGATCATTCCCACAGGATGGCTGTTCAGAGTCGGGGATGTCAGCCTAGATTTCTACCACAGAGTCTCTCCTGCGTTAGCTGTGGTTTAAGGTTTCAGTGAAAGCTTGTGGCAGGGCCGTGTCAATATTAAAGGTGTGGGTGTCACCTGAGTGCGCCCAGTCTCACAGGTACTGACGTGCAGTGTCCCCGCAGGGCCCTGCTGGAGAAAGAACTGGAATCCGTAGGAATCCGTCTGAACAAGAGCAAACCAAATATCTACTTCAAGGTGAGGTTTCCTCAGACACAGCTTGTGTCTGGCTGCTCAAAGCCAAGGTCACTGTTGGACAGACCAAAGGGAGCTGTGGATTTTACAGCCTGTTCTTTAAGTTGCTTTATTGCCTCCCTGCAGCCGAAGAAAGGTGGAGGTATCTCCTTCAACTCAACTGTCACGTTGACTCAGTGCTCCGAGAAGTTGGTGCAGCTCATCCTCCACGAATACAGTATCCTTTCCAAAGATGGGAGACCCTTGAGCCTCAAATCAGCAGCTCGTGAGTCAAGTGGTGCCTGGTGTGGGACAGCCTTGCTGTGTCTTTGATGCTTGCTGGCTTGAGAACAGGCTTTGACAAGCAGGCTCAGCCCGTTGACTCACAGCAGCGTGTTGACGTGCTGGGATTTGGGCCTTGACAACGTTCACCTCAGAAATCTTCAACGCCGAGGTCCTCTTCAGAGAGGATTGTTCCCCTGATGAGTTCATTGACGTGATTGTAGGCAACAGGGTCTACATGCCGTGCCTCTACGTGAGTATCTCTGAAGCAACCCGCTGAACATTCTTTGGTGAAGCAAACTGGGGGTCTTCCTGGTTTCTGAAGCAGTAATGACTCAGGGTTTAAGTGGTGGAAAGCACAGCTCAACAGGGAGCTTTTCATGAGCTTTAGTTATGCTCTGCGTGTGTTCCCTGTGCCCTCTTGTGGCTGGCTGCCGTGGAGCAGCAGGAGCTGCGTGTTGGGGTGCCATGGGGTTTGCTCCCACGGTGCAGAGCCTTCGGTTCCCTTGCTACGAGCTCTGCACTTGGGTTTTCACTTCTGGTGCCTTGTGCCAGGGGTCACTTAACGGCTCTGTTTAGTAGCAACTTGGCCTGTAGTGAAATCCAAGAGACTGGATTCGAGTCATCCCAAAGGAAGGACTTTAAAAGGCCCAAATTTACCTTTATGCTTCTGAATTTTGAGTTTTCTTTTACTGAGAGCCTTGGCCTGCTCTCTGGCTGACAGGATCCGAGTTTCTGTTTCAGGTGCTCAGACTACCTTGTTATACCTACATGTACATGTCAGTGTTGCTGATTTGGCTTCCTAAAGGGCATTGTTTTTCCTTTGGCCTAGGTTTATAACAAGATTGACCAGATATCTATGGAGGAAGTGGATCGCCTTGCTCGGAGACCCCACAGTGTTGTTATCAGGTAGGGGCCTGACACGCTGCCCGATGTGCTGGCCCTCGTGGTATGGTGGTTCCTTTCCTACCCCTTTTCTCCAGCATCTCCCAAGAAGGGGCTTCTTCCAGGGCTGCCTGCAGCTTTTTCCAGGCTTCCTCCCCCTGGAGCCACAGGCTACTTGGCTTCTCCACGCTGTCTGCAAGCCAGAGGAAGCCAGTCTGGCTTGTTTCCTTGGAAGTGCTGATATATCTGATGGGGACTTTGCTGCTTCAAAGCTGCTTGCCCTTCTGCAAGCCCTATTTATCTCACCTTGTGTTTCTCCTTTACTGGCCTCATTAAAGGCTTTTCCCCTTGTTCCCTAGCACTGTAATAAAGACGTTTCACCTTGTTCTTCTGGATCTCTAAATCACAACAGCAGTAAACACAGAGATGTTCCTGGTGTTTTGCAGCTGTGGCATGAAGCTGAACCTGGACTACTTGCTGGAGAAGCTCTGGGAATACCTGGCACTTACCTGCATCTACACCAAGAAACGAGGACGTAAGTGACCATTGGCTGAGCAGGTTTGAGAGGCACAAGGGCTGCTGCTCATCGAAGGCAGGCAGGCTGCCAGCAGGGCTCAGATGCCTGGCTGTCAGTGAGCTCTTGAGTCTTGGAAATGCTGCATTACACTCTCCCTAACCAGCTTTCAGCTCTTGGGAAATGCTTTCTGTTCCATCTGATCCAGCCATGCATGTATCCCACCACAACCCTCCTATTCTCTCTGCACTTAGAGAGCTGAATTTTCATAAGACTTCGCATGGTGATACAAGGAATTAAGGTGTGCAGGTTCACAGCTTTCTTCCTTATTATGCACACTCTCTGATGAACTGTTCAGCCCATCACTACCCAGAAGAGGTCTCCTCTTCCTACTGGGAGGGATTGGTGATTCCCATGCCAGGCTCCTGAGGTTCAGGAGTGCCTTTGATCTTCCTTTTGCTTTGTCATTCACTTGCAGCTTCTCCCAGTATCAAGGCACCTCTATAACTTGTTCCTGTTTGGTTGTGAAAAGCTGTGCCTCTGAACTTGGGTGGATGTGGGAAGCTGAAGGAACTTTCTATGAGCTGCTTAAGCTATGAAATCTTGGGGATTTTACAGAAAACTCAAGTGGTTTGGTTTTACTTGAGCAGGTGTGTGTTGACTTGAGTGGTTTTGTTTGTCCTAAGTCAAGTATTTAAAATGGAGTTGGAGCTGATTTGGTGCTTTCAAGTACCCGGATACCTGTTCTGTCTGGGAGTGTGATGGGAGGAGGAGTTTGGGAGTAGTAAGCACAAGGCAATGTGAGGTGGTGTCAGCATACCAGAACAAATTTGATGGAAATCCAGTGCTTATTTTTCCCCCCTTCCATGCTGCTTCTCCACAGAGAGACCAGACTTTACGGATGCCATTATTCTACGGAAAGGGGCCTCCGTGGAGCACGTGGTAATTTTTCTGCATCTTTTACATTTCCTTGTCTGCAGGTTCCTCTTGGAGCCTGCTGTGATTTGGGCTTCATAAAGCTTGGGAGATGTCGGTGTTTAGTTGGGCTTCTCCTTTCACTGCCTTTACTGGTTCCATCTGCCTCAGGTTGCTTTCCGAGCTGCTGTGAAAGGTTAAATAAATTACTTGGTGTAGTCAGGCACATGGAAGCAGTGAAACAGGGTGTTATATGGACTGGTGGTTCCTCTGCCCCTGTTCTGTGTTCTTTCAAGTGCTGTTCAGTGGCTCCTGAAGTCACTGATGTAATCTCTGACATAAAGCCCAGTTTCTTCTAGTGTTTGGATATTGAACAAGTCACTGAACTGCCTCACGTGCTGTCCCTCTGTCTTGCAGTGCCATCGAATTCACAGATCATTAGCCAGCCAGTTCAAGTATGCCTTGGTATGGGTAAGTGTTTAACAGCACACGAAATCCCTGTCCTCAGGTGTCTCTGGTCCTCTCCTAACCCTTCTTCCCTTTTTGCTTTAAAGGGGACAAGCACAAAATACAGCCCTCAGAGAGTGGGCTTAACCCATATGATGGAGCATGAAGATGTCATTCAGATCGTAAAGAAGTAACCCTCTTCGCTGGTGCCTGGCCTTGTCTTTAATCGCTAGAATTGGAACTGACCACATAAAAGCAAAACAAAACAAATCAAAAAAAAGAAGAAAAATACCAAGAAAAGGGAAAAGGGAGACGTGTTCTACAGCCAAGAAAGCTTCTGTGAAGCTCCTTCTCTTGGAGGAAGGCAGAAAATGAGGCTACTGTACTTGCAGGTGGGGATGGGGAAGATGGGTTTCCATCTTGCAGCGTTTCAGGTGAAATAATGTTTCTTAAAAATGAAAAAAAGGAGCCAGTTCTTCTAGGACACAGTTCTCACAGCCAGTAATGTCCTGCCCCTGGAGGGTTTGTGTGAACAAACCTGGCCCTGTGCTTTGGGACAGGGAAGCCGGGGCTGAGAGAACATTGCTGAGGCTTTGCTGCTCATCCATTCACTTTAAATTAAGCATTGATCTGAAACAGAAACAAAATTCTCCCTCCCCTGTTTATTTGCTGCGTTGTCTCTGCAGCTTTCACTTCAGTCTCTGCATCTGAGACAGCCCCCGGTGAACTGATAATGGTCTCACCTCGATTAACATTAAACCGGGGCACTCTGTGCCTCTCCTTAGCTCTGCAGTGGGGTTTGTAGGACATCCTGGTCCATTTGGTACTGAGGAAGGTGAGAAATGAAGCCTTGTTCATAGTGATTCACCTGGCCAAGCTGATCACAGAGCCATAGGCTGCAGCCAGGGTTGGCTCCTCGAGGAGCTGGCTTGGGAGTTTCCTCCTTTGCTCTTGTCCTGCCCGTGGGTCCCCAGGGATATTGCTGGGGATCTCCTCCTTTCTCGGTCATGCCCCTAAATACGGCTCTTTGAGCTCAAAGTACCATCCCATGCCGTGGGTTTTGCCCCAGCCCTGTTAAACATTAATGCTTGTCTGGCTATTTTTTCATCAGAAATCTGGGATTTTTCTAATCATCCTTTTTCATTGAATACTGACGCTAAACGATTCAGAGTGCCTGATAGAGAACAGCTCTTTTCCTTCTGGGAGGATCAAGAGTTGCCAATAGCTTTTATTTTCTTTCATTGGGAAAGGGTTCGGTCTGGTGTGGATTTCGTAACTGTGAGGACAGGTCTGGTAGCAAACTTGTCTGAGCAGGGCTCCTTCCCTCTCCTTTGTGCTCCTCCCCACCCCTCACAAACTGATCGAGCGGAAATGGAAGGATTATTTTATTTGAGAAAATAAAAGTTGCTATTTCATGTGAACGGTCGGTGTCTGCCTGCGGTGGATGGACGCTTTGGTGTGTTTTCTAACTCTCTTCTCTTTACCTTCGGCCACCTGAGGAATCCAGGTTGCTGTTGCAGGAGGGAATAGATTGTGAAGCGGCTGCCAGAGGGCTCTGAGGCTGGAGGGCACTCGATGAGGTGTGATGGGAGATAAATAGATATTACACACAACACCCAAGCTAAGAAGGTGACTTTGAACTCTTCCCTGCCCCTGGCTTTGTTCACAGCTGGAGCGCAGAGCAAATCCCGACCGCGGTGGCAGCGAGCAGAGAACGAGCTCCAAATTAGCAGCGTTATGGCTGAGCTGGCTGTAGAAAGCAGGCATTTCTCTGTGTGAATTGGGTGGGATGCTGTTCCGCCACATTAACTTGCCCTTTAAATTTCCTCTGAAGGTTGCACGGGCAGAGCTGCCCGCACAGAGGTTTCCTTTGCTTTCGTTTTGTCCCTGAGCTTCTGACTTTTTCACTCCAAACCCAGGAGCCTGCCAAGCCCCAGCACATGAAGGGGCAGCCAGAAACGATGGGGCTCCGTCCTTAGGCCAGGTACGGTGTGGAGCTGGGGAAATGACTGATGTGAGGCTGAAAATGCACACTGTTTGCTGCTGACTTGGTTGCTTAGTGCACACCTCTGGGTGTGTTTGGGTTTCAAATTGACTCGTCTAGCGTGCCGTCGTTAAAAACCCCTCTGTCTAATTAGCCTTACTCTTCATTTAGGAAATTAGGCATTTTATCCCGTTCAGGATGAACCGATAGATGATTACATTTGGAATGAGGATGAAGTAAAAATAGTTAGCAGCAGCAAACTTCTTTTTTTAGTGAGAGCAGCTTTTTTTTTTTTTCCAAGCGAGTTTATCGCTGTATTTGAAACTGTGCGCATTTAATTGCAGCGCTCATTCTTCCAGACAGCTTCCCTGATTGCTCTGCACCAGCGTTAAAAGCTGCAGACATTGCAGGAGCAGGTTTGCCTGAAGATTGCTCCAAATCCTGAGAAAGCAAGGTCTTACAGCAGGGCAAACATCTCCAGCAGTGCTAGGGTTGTACCCGAGCCTCCTGAGGTTTGTGGAGTTGCCCAGAGCCCTCGTTAGCCCCTGATGAGGGGAGATGTGCTCAGAGCCTGTTTAGAGAAAGGCTGTGTCATCTCCAGGAGGAAGAAGGGACCGGTTGCAGTCAGGAGCTGTGGGTTTGCCCCCAAAAGAGCTGCATTTTTGCTGCTGGACAATGCTTGGAGAAAGCCACTGGGGTCCTGGTGGCCAGCAGGATGACGATGAGCCAGCACTGTGCCCTTGTGGCCAAGAAGGCCAATGGCATCCTGGGGTGTATCAGGAGGGGGGTGGTTGTAGGGCAGAGAGGTTCTCCTGCCCCTCTACTCTGCCCTGGTGAGACCACATCTGGAATATTGTGTCCAGTTCTGGGCCCGCAGTTCAAGAAAGACAGGAACTGCTGGAGAGAGTCCAGCGTAGGGCTACAAAGATGATCAAGGGAGTGGAGCATCTCCCTTCTGAGGAGCGGCTGAGGGAGCTGGGGCTCTTTAGTTTGCAGAAGAGGAGACTGAGGGGAGACCTCATTCATGTTTATAAATATTTCAAGGGTGAGTGTCACGAGGATGGAGCCAGGCTCTTCTCGGTGTCAAACAATGATAGGACAAGGGGTAATGGGCACAAGCTGGAACACAGGAGGTTCCACTTCAATTGGAGAAGAAACTTCTCAGTGAGGGTGCCAGAGCCCTGGCCCAGGCTGCCCAGAGAGGTTGTGGAGTCTCCTTCTCTGCAGACATTCAAAACCCGCCTGGACGCCTTCCTGTGTAACCTCATCTGGGTGTTCCTGCTCCGGCAGGGGGATTGGACTGGATGAGCTTTGGAGGTCCCTTCCAATCCCTAACGTTCTGGGATTCTGTGATCTGCAGCCCCCTGCCATTGCTCTGCTGTTTTGTGAGCACCGTACCCCGATCCCGGGGGGCTGCACTCATCCTGCCCTGTCCCCGGGTGTGCTCCACTCACAACGTGTGACCGTGCATCGCTGCTGAGCCGCGCTCTGGGTGTGAAGCGGAGTGGAGCAGCTTCGACACAGCCCACCAGCCACCCTCCATCTCGGCCTGCAAACAGCGGCGGCTCGAGGCGTGCTCTGTTGAAGATGCCTGTTCCAGGCAATCAAGCAGGTTTGATTGGCTGAACACTCCTTTTATAATTTAATTTAGTCAGGAATCGTTTGCTAGGTAATAAAAAGAGACTCTGACTCCAAATACATTCATTTAATTCAATGAGAGACAGTTACTGCGGCGGGCTCGCCTCAGCCAGCTTCCCTCAGCCCATCACGCTGACATCTTAAAGCGCTGCTCGGGGCTGTATATAAGAGTCACGATCCGCAGTGACAGCTTAATTGTTTCAAACGCTGACAAGGGTCACCCCAACCAGGCAGCTCGGGAGGCTGCGGCGAGGAGGATTTATGGCTGGCAAATAGTTTTGAATTCCTCCGGTTGCGCCTGCTAAATGATGAACCTGCCCCTGGGGGATTGGGGCTATTGATTGTAATTTGCAGTTAAGCCCTCGCTTTCTGAGGAATCAGCATAATAAATACCCACCGCATTACGGCAGGGACGTGTCTGCATGGAGGGGAAGGGAGCACAGCTTTTGCGGTGCTTGCTGCAGGATGTGCTCGCTGCCCCTGGGTTTGGGAGAGGTGCGGGCTCCATTGCTGCGGGGAAACGGTCCCAAGCTTGATGGGCAGGAACCCAGTGCTGGAGGGTGAAGCTTTGTGGAGGCTTTTTGGCCTCCTGATCTCGGGTGCTTGGTGAAGGCAGGTGGAAATGGTCATCTCGAGGAGAGAGTTGGGACATTGGGTGTCTGGATCTCTTCTCTCTGCCAACGGGAGCTGTTTGGTCCCAGCCCTGATTTGGAAAGAGGTGAGGGGGATAATGTGTGTCCACCCACATGTCCCTGTGATTTCTCCTAAACTTGCATTGGTTTGGGAGTGGGAATGGGTCAGGGCCGTTCCCCAGCTGTTCACATCTGGGGTTCATAGCACAGAGGTGATGCAGGAAGGGACAAGGACCAGCGGAGGGGGGATCGGAGCTGGCAGCCCCCACACCGCTCGCTCCCTGACGCTGCCCGGCTCTGCGGAGGGCAGATGAACTCACATCCCTCCGCTGATGAGTGGAGATGAGAAGAATAGCGGTCATCAAATATGCATGGGGTAGCAGCAGCCTGCAGCTGCTGTGCAGCAAATATGGTCCTGCGGCTGCCGGGGGAGTGACGGTCCTCGTGGAGAGCGAGGCCGGGAGCACGGCGCCAGCAGAGCCGGGGGCTTCGGGCAGCACCGAGCCAGCCCGGTGTCATGTGGGCAAGTTAGGCTACCCCAGGTGAGTGGCTGCGAGTCCCCTGGACGGGTGGCACATCCCCTGGGCTTGTGGAGGCCACATTGGGAAGGACCAGAGGGGACCTTTGTGTGCGATGCTGCTCCTTACGCCAACGCTGTGGCGTGGGGCTCGGCTCCTCGGGGTCAAGGCGTGCGGTGTCCCCTGGTCTTGGGTTGTCCCTGCCTGTCCACTCACTGCCTTATCTTGCCTTCCCACTCACACCTTCCTGATGGTCTCAGTGTTCCCGCTGCCCTCCAGAGCACAGCTTCCTCCCCTGAACACCCCTTCTTTCCTCCTACCACCCCTTCCCCAAATTCCTTTTACCTCAGGGCTGTTTTACCCTGGAAAATCTCTGCACGACCCCAGGGCTCTGCTCTGGGGCCGAGGCGATGGCACGGGGCTGTGCCCTGGCTCGGAGGCCACCAGGCAGCATTGCTGGGTGCACGCCAGCGTGAAACCCAGCTGGGCTCTGCCT